CACATGCCCATTTTCCTGGGGTACAGAGGAAGGAGGGGAGGAAGATTTGCCTGTTGGGGTGTGTATGTGTGGATGCTGTGAGCCTTTAGGCCCCTTCCAATGCCAATTTTTCAAATCTCATATGCTCTGATTTCAAGAAGAAAAAGGGCTTTGGCCCAATGGTACATGGACGAATGATGTGGTCCAGAGGTGAGAGAATCGATGCAGAGTCCGGGTGGGAGAGGGTGTGGAATTTACACACTTGTTGCTTCCAGTGTAGGAGCCACCATAAGACCCTCCCAAGACTTCAGACCCAGAGCTTCAGGCAAAAGGGCTTCCTGAACCCCCAGGGACCACCCCCTTTCCAGATGCTTTCTGGGGCACCCTGCCCCCAGCCTAGTGCAGGAGGCTGAAAAATCAAAGTATATTGCTTTAGCTGCATTAATACCCTCCCTTCTCCTCGCTTCAGATCAGGGCTATTTGATGTCTCAGGTGCCTGAAACCTTTCATCTGCCAGAGGTACCATCTTCTCCGCCGTGTGATGAGAATGATCGTCCCTTGGGAGGTGGGGGCAGCAGGGCCAGGGAGTCAGTCCTTGAAGGTCAGAGATGAAAAGGCCTCTGGGGGTCACCTGGTTCAGCTTCCTTCTTGTGGGAAACTGAGGTCCAGAGAAGGGCTGCTCCAGGAGAGAGGTCCAGTCGTACAGATGGTCAGTGGTAGCCCCGAGCCCAGGACCCAGCCAAGCGCGTGCTGTGCCTTCACTATCCACCTCTGCCATCCGAGGCTCCCTCAGCCCCAGTTCTCCCTGGGCTGAGGTCACAGGGCAGAGTTTGGGCTGAAGAGGAAATGCCATTTCCATGAGGGGTGGGAACCCCCCAGGGTAGTTTTGTGGATCCGCAGCTCTCCCCACGTCACTTCTCCATTGTGGCCATAATATCCTTTTATATAAGTGAGGGAGAGGCCGAGGGGGCAGCTCAGTGACCCCAGATGTTCCATCCCGCTTTGCCCTTAGCCCCTGCCAGGCTTCCGTGGCTGTTTCAAATCCTCATTGCCGCCCCAGTAACCTTGCTTTCTGGGAAGGAGAACCAGCTCGTGGGTCAGAGTCTCCACCCTTGAAGCTGAACCTCAGTTGGGCATGGGGGGGTACTCCAGGGTGAGTCCACAGGGCAGGGCTCAGCTTTACAAACCTGTCACAGCCATAGCTCGGGGCGTGGGGCTTGAAGGGAAAGGCTCAGGTCTGCTGCAGTTGACTGTGGGCTCCCCCAATCCTACCTGTATTTGTACCCTTAGAGTTCCCTCACTGCGGCCTGTCTGCTGAATGGGTAGTGCCATAGTGATAAATAATGCAGGGGCGAGATGGAGAAACACACTGCTGGCTGGCTGGACGGTTGGCTTCCTGGTGCCTCCGGGGCAAAGCCTAAATCCTCACCAAGGACCCCAAGCCTTTCCCAAAGTGACCTCTGCCTTCCTTCCCTGTGTCAGACATGAGCCCTTCCCTACCTCTTTGCTAAAGAGCCCTGATTTCTGACGTCAGAGTTCTCCCCCTGCTGTTTTCCCTGATGCCCTGAGCTCTCCCACTTCCCACACAGAACCACCGTGGGATACCCTCCCCTGGCATCATCCGCCAAAGAACCCAACTATACCCTGGAGGCCGAGCTGGAGGCCGAGCTGAAGGCTGCCCCCTCCCAACTGGAAGAATCCCATATTCATGACACTTGCCATTTACTGAGCACCTATTACGTGACAGGTGCTTTTCATCACCATCGCTACCCCTTACAGCAATGGAAAAGGAAGTCTCTTGCGTCGTTTTCCTGGAAATTGGGACTCAGGGAGCTCACACAGTGACGAGGTAGGAGAGCTGGCACTTACTTAACTTGGACCTGGATTAAGTGGCTTCAGAGCGGGACTGCTGCCCCCACCCTGGCGGGGCTCCCATGTGCTTTCGGTGCCCTGGGTGGCACCAGGCACAGCTTGCTGGCATCAGGGTCCCCTCTTGCCCTCTAGCGTCACCCATCCCATCCCCATCCTGGAGGGAAAGAGTCACCATTGCCTGCCCATGCCAGCTCCCCAGCCTAGTGAACCCCGAGGTATTAGGGGACAGCTGAGGCCCCGGGCCTGGAGACCAGAAGGGCTGACCCTGCAAGGCTATTTGATCCCTTATGGTGTGTAAGCATCTAGTAAGCATCTACCGTAAGTCTAATTCCCGTATTAAGAATTTGGAGGCATCCGAAAAAATGGTTAGGTGTGTTTCCTCGTCTGTGGGGTATCAAGTGAAGGGACTAAGGCAAACATACAGGAGGGAAGTGGTTGGCAGACAGGGGACTGGGAGTCACTGGACTTGGGTCCTGGTCCTGGGTAGGCCTTTAAATCCCTGACTATGCTAGGAGCACCCCACACCCCCCACCAGCTGAGCCTGCTGGCAGTACCAATAACATGCAGCTACCCCTTCCTAGGGAGTCCTTCTGGAGGCGGCTTTCCCACCGTCTCGTTTATCACGGCATCCCTTTGCTGACAAGCCTGGCCAGGGGGCCTGGGCTGTGCACTCACTGGCGAGCAAGCGAGTGACTTACTCTCCCGTGAGCACAGGAAGAAGAACGAGGCCACTGACTTGGCACAGGGCTGTGTGCCAGGCCCTGTTCTAAGCATTTTACTTGTATGAACTCATTCAGTGGCCTCCCCAGCTCAGTGATGAGCCCTGACTTCCAGATGGGAACGCTGAGGCCCAGAGAAAGGGAGTAACCGTCCGTGGGAGAATTGGGGTGCAGGACTGGAGACAGGGGCGAGAGACAGATGCTGAGAAAGGGAGAGGGAAGCGAAATGTGGGAGTTTTCTCCCCTCCGGCTCTGCCACCCCGAGGGCTCTGAGGGGAATCTCAATGCTCCGCGTTGGCTCCAATTAATGGCAGGGTTTCTCGTTAGCCAGCTCGCTCTGCCCGCCTGCGGTCCTCGGCTCAGGGCTGGTGGGGGCAGGCCACGTGCTGGTGGGTCAGGACAAACGGCCTGAGGCCCTGCCTGCCCCCTGCCCACTTGGATCTGAGAACCCATTCTATCTGTGGCCCCCACCCTGGCCCAGGGCTGATCCCGGGCTGGCAGCAGCCCGGGGAACAGAAGGTTTGCTTGTCTGCGTCTGCTGCACCCCCCTCCCCAGCCTCAGCCTGGGACCCCTCTCAGGGGCTCCTTTGGCTGCCAGGACTTGGGCTCTCCGTTGCCATGGCACCGGCCGGAGATGAGGCTCTGGGGGGCAGCAAGGGATGGTGGAGGCCCGGAACTCTGCAGCTGCCGAGGTGCTGGGGCCCCAGCAGGGGCAGGCCTGGACCCTGAGCACAGTGGGCCTGTGGCAGAGCCGGCCACACACCTAGTCTGACTGCCTACAGGCTCCATCTCGTGCTCCATCTCCGAGGCCCTCAGGACGGGCCTCAGGGCAGGCCGTTTACTGCTGGGGCACGGCCCCGCCAGACCCAGGCTGTCCTCAGCAAGGACATTCCTCTCCTCCACCATGTGCTCATGCTCAGGCTCTGCAGTGAAGTTGCAGGGAGGATCTGAGCTCTATCCCTAGCTTGACTTTCAAATTACTGGGTGAGCTGGGGCAGGCCCCTTGCTCACTCTTCACCTCAGCAAGGGAAGGCTAGGATGCTGACCTCAGGATCCTTCGGTCTTTGAGAGCTTGGATTCTGTATGGACCCCGTTAGGGTAAACTCATGTAGTCCTGTTGCCCTGTGGACAGACCTGTTTAGGGGCGGGAGACAGGCAGTCTATCGTGACGGTTAAGAAGACAGGTTTGGGGTCAGGCGAGCCTGAGTTTGCATCCCACCTTCATGGCTTACTGGCTGTGTCACCTTGGACAAGTTACCAGACCTCTCTGAGACTCAGTTTCCTCCTCATGAAAGGGAAATAACGATTGTCACAGGACTCTTATGAGGACAAAACAAAATCCCCAATGTAATGAACATTTTTGAATAGCCTGACCTCTGAGGATCCTAAGCTGTCCAAGGACGGACTGGGTGACGGATGGGGTGGTGAGACCCTGGCCATGGGAGGTGTGCCACCGTGGACGGCACAACCCCTTGGTTTGCAGAGAGGGAGGGAGAGACATGAGTAGGGAGTATTTGGGGCCCATCCCAGCCCCAAGGTTGTAGGGCTCTGTGAAAGGTGGTGTGACTCCCGCCTTGTTCTTTGGCTTCAGGCTCACCCCACTACAAGGAGAGCCTGGACCGACAGGCGAGGTCAGAAAGCAGAGGGGAAAGGACAAGGCAGGTGTAGCTCACGGATTGAGCCTGTGCTGTGTGCCAGGCGTGGCTTTGTCATCTTTACCTCCTGCCTTAGGGAGGCTGTGACGTGGGTGTGGAGCCAGCGTGCTCTGGGGTCAGTCTGCCCAGGACTGTGCACTGACTCCGCCACTGGCAAGCTCCGTGACCACAGGCAAATGATTTAACCACTTTGTGCCTTGCTTTCCTCATCTGTGAAAGGGAGCAGCGACCCAGAGGTCGTGAGTGGTTCTGAGGTCATTAGCCCAGGTATTGGGTGGCACAAACTAAATCAGAGAGAGCTGTGGTTATCCCTGTTGTTTTCAAGGCCTGCTAGCTCCTTGTTCCATCTTGCAGGGGCTCCAGGGGGTCCAGATGGGATCCAGAGGACTCCGGTGGAGGGATCCACGGGGCCTGCGCAGAGCCCTGGGGGTGGAGGTGCGCAGCCATGGGGGACGAGCAGGGAGGCCAGCGAGGCGCCAGAGAAGGCAGGAAGCGTCTGCTCAGCGGGGGTGGGGTGGGGTAGGGGGGCCAAGAGCACGTGGCGGGCCTCCCTCCCTCACTGACCTCCTTCTCGGGACAGTTCTCAGCCTGTGTGGGGACCCAGGCCCCCTCCCCTGGGCCCCCAGTGGCCGTGAAGCACACACTGAGTGCTTTCCCACGAGCTGTTCCAAGTCCCCAGGCCTGCGTTATCCCCCACCCCCAGGCGCACACACTCTGGCGGGTGAGGGGGTGTGTGGCGGGAGGGGGGGCGCTCAGGCTGGGGGGAATCAGTCCGTTCTTTATCAGCCTGGCTTGGATCCAGACAGATGTTTCGTTTTATTTTGAACTTCCAGAAAATAGGTCATTTCTTTCCATTGTGTCCCTGGGGAGGCCTCCTGGGGAGAGAAACACAGAGTGAGTGACGAGTGTGGGGGCCTCACTTGGGCCCTGGGGAATTGGAAGGGCAGCGACCTCCCTTCCTCAGTCATGATGAGCTGTCGGCAGGGCCAGGGCACCTAGTTTCTTCAAGGCTGAGCTAAGAAGCCAGCCCATTCCTAGGGGCAATGGGGAGTTTCGGAGGTGCCGGGGAAGGACGTGGTCAGATGGGTATTTCAGAAAGGTTTCTCTGGTTGTGGTGTGAGAATAGGCCAGAGGGGACAGACTGCAGATGGCGAGACAGAAGGGGGGTGGTACGGCAGGACAGCCAGAAGGGACCAAGCTTGTGCCGGAGGGGGCAGGGGTAGGGGGATCACAATGCCAGCCCGTGGAACTGACACTCTTATTCTACCCACTTGGACTTCCAGAACATCTAGAGCCCATGCCATGCCCCAACTTAGCTGATTTCTGTTGCTTTGTTTGGGGGACCTCCTAGGTACCTGGAAACCTGAAGGTCCTCTGGGTCTAGAGCAGCATGGCAGAGTGAGGTCTGGATGACCAAGCAGCATTGCTGTGTGATTTGGGCCAGGTTGCACTCTCTCTGGCCTTGATGTGATCCTCAGGCTGGAGGGGAGATTCACTGTGTAGAGGTGGAGTGTTGAGCCTTCACCAACAGATAGGAGTGGGGCTTAGGATTGAGGGTGGCAGGTGGGAGCCCCACAGCCTCAGCCCCTTCCCAGGCTTCTACCTGCCACTGCTTCCCTACCCAATGGACCCTGCAGTCCTCCCTGGCTCCTGGGATGAAGTTCCCCCACCCAGGCTGCAAGAGCACACCTATGTCTCAGCCCACTTGGAGTAAAGCCATGCCGGCCATCCTCTGCCAGGTCCAGCTGGTGCGGCCCTCACTCACGTGCTCCCCCAGCTGCTGCAGGGAGGACTCAGTCCCTCACTCCAGATGCCTCTTGCCCCCACACACTCCCAGGCCTAAGGCTGGCTGCCTTCTCTGAGTCATGACATCCAGACCTGGGCCCCTCCCCGGCACCCCCCCCCCACCCCAGCATTCCAACTGTGCACAGCCGCCTTCCCGAGCAGGGTCCTGAGAGCCACAGCATGGCAGCCCTGGAAGTGCACCAGGATGGCCCTGCCCACCCTGTGTACAGATGGGAAGACCAAGGCTCAGCACGGGGCACGACGGCACGATAGGTGGGTGACGGAGCCGGGGCTAGAACCCACATCCCCTTGTTCCCAGTCAGGGGTCTGCCCCGGTTTGTCCCGGGGGACGCAGAGTGGCGAGGGGTGTATGGACGAGAGGATGAGGCTGCCAGCAGTGTCCCACTTCCGCCTGCAACTTAGTGAGCCACCTCCTCTGAAGCTCAGTCCCCATTCCCCGCTGGGTGGGACAGTACAGGGCAAGTGACTTTGACATAGAGGTCTATGTGCGGCAGGACAGGGGGTGTTCTTTGGAAACAGAGTGGGCAGTGGATGTAGTCTGAACCCTGGGTCTTGAGCCACCAGCCTCATCAGAGCTGGGGCTGGAGCCAGGGCAGCCCAGTTGGGTGAGCTGCAGCGCCCCATTGGCCACCTACCTGAGCCTGGCTTGCCTAGGTCAAAACAATGGCACCTGTCCCTGTTTTTTGCTAAGCCTCAGTTTCCCCACCTGTACAATGGGCACAGGAAGAGGGTTGGATTGAATAGATGATCCCTGAGGGCTGTGGAGCTCTGACATTTCATGACTCTGACCCCGTGACTCCGTGGCGAGGCCTCCTCCTCCCTCTGGCATCTTGTTTATTCAGAGCATCCCTGGCCCGAGACTGCCTGCCCCAACACCAACCTCCTCCCTGCAGCAGGGCTTCATCCCTCCCCACCTCGCTGCTATGTCTGCCCATTCCCTGCCTCAAGACGGAGGGTTCCTCTGTCCACTCAGGTGCCCACAGCCCCTCCAAACCCTAAAGCAGCTCGGTGGCAGCTCTCAATCTCGCCCCTTTGCCTCATTCTCGTCTCAGAAAATGACATTGTGTCCCCAACACACACAGACACTCCTGCCGCCCCCCCCCCCCAGTATTCCAAGTCAGAATCAGGAGTGGGAGCTCGCGCAAGCTACCTCTCACTCCAGCACCCCCTTCCCCAGCATCTATCACCAAGTTCCGTCACCTCTCAGCTAAACCACTCTCAATGCCGTCTGTCTCCGCCGGTCCCCACATCCCTGTCCCCAGCCCAAACACAGAAGGCGGTGGCACGGGCTGGTACAGAGCACTCTGCCAAGGTTCAGTCTCTGCTCTGCATTGCTAGGCAAGTTCCCTAAATGCTCGCTGCCTCAATTTCCCCATCTAAAACAGGACTGAGCCTGGTCTCTACCTCACCGAGTTGGCTGAGGAGCACCGGCTTGTGTTGGGTGTTGTGGCTGTGTGTTCAGGTGTGCTGGGGCCTGTGTGCACACAGGCATCTTGCACGTGCACAGCTTGGCCGAGGCTGGGTACACATGTGATGTGTGGCCCGCGTGCGCCCCGCCCATGGGCGTGTGGGAGAGTGCGCAGGCAGCAGTCTGTGCCGCGCGCGCCAGGGAGCTGTGCGCACGTGGGTTTGGTGTGGGCACGCACATGCGCAGTGCCTGTGTGAGGGCTGGGCACACACATGGCCCGGTGCACACGGGTGTGTTTCCGAGCAGCGTGTGAGTGAGCGCGTAGGCAGGGCTCTGTGGCGTGTGTGCACATGCTCGTCGTCTGTAAGCCTCCCTCCCCGGCAGCCACGGAGGCCCTCCTCGCTGGCCTCCCTGTGTCGTGGGAGTCTTGGGACCCCGAGGGAGGGAAGCTGCTGCTGGCGGATGTGGCCAAGAGGGACTGGATTTATTTAGATTTAGGTGGTGGGAAAGAAGTGGAGACTCATAGGATCTGGAAAGATGGAAGGCTGGGCTCAGAATGATTCCCCAAGCATGCCTGCTCCCCGGACTTGGGGTCCACATTCTCCTCCCCCAAGCGGGTCCTTCTGATTCACTATGAGGAGGGGGGCAGTGACTCCATCTTTGGACCTCTGTCCCCCCCCCACCAGCCTGGCCAAAATAAGAGGAATCATGAGGTCTTCCTGGCACTCAGCACTCTCCTCATGGGCAAAGGGGGGAATCCCTGAGAGTCCCCTCCCTCTGTCTGCTTCAGGGGCCTCCCCAGGCAGGAGAGTATGGCAGGTAGGAGGGTGCTGCTTCCTGACTGCGACATCTGCCTTGTCCCAGGTGACTCCTCCCTGGAGGGCAGCCCTCCCCTGAAGAAGGGGAAGTTGTCACAGGCAAGCCCACAACCTCCGAAGCAGCTGCTTGGGCCTCTCTGCGGTTGGCTGGCACCACAGCAGCCTCTGAAAAGCACAGAGGTCCATGGGCATGGGATAAATAACCGGGGGTATCAGGGAGTCATCTAAGATGGCCCCGGGAGTTTAGGTCTGGGTTCCCCCAAACTCTACTCTCATTCTTCCCAGTCCTCCTGTTGTCCACACCCCCCTTCCGCTTGCCACCTCCTGCTTTTCCATATCACCTGTTTGTCTCAAAGTCCCCTGAAAGACTGGCTAATTCCTAATTGTAGAGATGGGAAAAGTGAGGCCCAGAGAGGGAAACAATTTGTCAAAGTCCACACAGCATGTCTGTGACCAAATGGTCAAGGAAATTCCATCTGTTGAATGAGACGGGTTGTGGATTCTCAAATGACTCCAGCCCTAGTACTGTAGCCCCCTCCTTCTCATCGACCCTCACCTCCCTAAACCACCCCAACAGGAATAACAGTGACCAGAACCTTCTCTCTGGCCAGTCAAAAACACGGTTTTAGAACAGGGGTAGCTCTTTTGAGTTGCCCCATCCAAACCTCTCCCTGTACTCACGGGGAGAAACTGAGTCCCAGAGAAGGTGGGAGACACGCTGAGTCTCACAGTGAGTCTGAGGTCCCTTGTGACTGGAGCCAAAACGCTCATTTCCTAGAGCGAGAAGTCAGTCCAAGATCCCTGGGGCATCTACACTCGTCCTGAGCTTTTCTGCCCAGCCTATCCTCTCCCTAGCCTGATTCTGCCTTTTTGCTGTGTGACTAGGCCACGATTCTGTCCCTCTCTGGGCCGCTGCCTGTTCAAGAAGGCCTGTTCAGAAGTCCGAGACTCTGAGCTGCCCCCCAGCCCCAGGCCCAGCAGGAGAGGAGCCAGGGTCAGGGGAGCCGGGGGCCCAGCCTGCAAGGCCCAGCCTTCCAGAGCCAGGCCAGCCCTGGTTGCAGTGACCTCCCATCTCCAGGCCAGCCGACCAAATTCCTCCTTTAGAATAATAAACAGTGTGGCCAGCCAGGGAGGCTGGGAGGGGAGGGGCAGGGAGGCTGAAATGACCCCCTCCCCCAGCCTTGGCTGCTAATGATTTTCTTTGGCTGAGACCTCAGGCAGGAACGGGGGAGGCAGAGGGGCACCCACCGAGGGGCAGATGGGCCTCTGTGGGGCCTGCTGGTTCTGCCTCGGCACTGCTCCCTCCTGCTGGCGCAAGACTGGCATCCAGCTGGAGGGGCTGGGGCAGGAGGGATGGGAGTGGGAGTGCTGTGGAAGGGCGGGGCTTTGGGCCTGGAAGAGCTGAGAGAGAGGAAAGGGGGGAATGACGAGACCCTCAGGCAGGCTGGCCCGAAGGGACGAGGAGAAGGAGGAAGGGCAGAGCAGAGTTAGTTGCTCACAGAGCTTCTTGGGGTGCTGGGCAGAGCTGAGCCCGGGGCCCAGCAGTAGGTGGAAATGCAGCCCCGTGAGTGGCACACTCCCCGTCATCCCATTTTGAGAGCTGGAGACTGAGGACACAGGAGGCAGCCCCAGTGGGGCTCAGACCCGGAGCCCAGCCCTGGCTTGGAAAGTAAAGGGTCGGGATGGGGAGCGGAGTGGGGGCCGTCTGGGCGTGGCCTGAGGAGCCCGCCGGCTGGGCAGCCACTCAGGGAAGTCAGCAGACCCGCAGCCCGGGAGGCTCCCTGTGCCTGGTCACGTGCTCACTTCCTACCCCTGTCCGCCTCTGGCCTCCTTCCTATCGGTGCTGCTGGCAGACCCCTGCCAGCTCGGCTATTGGTGCTTATCTGGGATCCTCAGATGGCGCTGCCAAGGGCAGGGATGGAGCAAAGACCCACCTAATTCAATCCGTCTCCCTGTGTCCCTCCTTCGGTCTCCTGCTGCTTCCTTCACTGTTTGCTTGCTCCCTCTCTGTGTCTCTCTCTGCCTCTATCATTCCGGGTCTCTTTGTCTCCCTCCTCAACAAGCTCAGCTGTGTCATCCTGCACAAACTTCTTTCCCATCCAGAGCCTTGGTTTCCCCGTCTGGACCCTGGGGGTGGGGGTGGGGGGGCTTGGACTCAGTAGTCTCCAAGGACCTTTGAAACCTCGCCATGAAGTGGGGCCTCCCCTGGGCTCAGCCCCTGGACCCTCTCCCCTAGGCCTCCCTGTGCTGCTTGGGGCTGCGTAAAGGGGGCCCAAGCATGGGGGTGCCCCCCCCACATTCCGCAGTCCTGACTCCCCCGCTTCCCTTCCCACAGCCGCCTCCACTTCCTGTTGTGCTTTTGGAGCCTGTGGGAGTTCTCTGGGCTCTGGCTTTCCCCCTCCTGCTCCCCCAGGCCTTTCATCACGCTTTCCCAAATATTTGTCCTGGCAGATAAGAGCCTGGTATTGAAACTGTCACCCGGAGGACTGGCTGTTGGAGCTGGTGGGCCCCTGGACACCGTCCAGTCTGAGTCCCCCACTCCCATTGTGCATACAGAGAAACTAAGGCCCAGAGAGGCCTGGGTTCAGCCAAGGCCACTGGAGAGGTAGAGGCAGAGCCAAAGTAGGGTCCATACACCCTGAGGCCCAGCCCCGTGCAGGTGGAGGGGACTCTGGGGCATGAGTGCCCTCTTGATCATGGGACATGGGTGACTTCTGACTTCAGCCCCACAGACATGGAAGCTGGGTGGTCTAGGCTGGGGTTTACTCTGCAGGACTCAGATGCTAAGTCCGATTTTGCAATGACTCTGCCCACTCTGAGCTCTGACCTCTATTTAACTCTGCAGGACACCATGCAGCCTCCAAGCACCATGCCGGCTCCTGTCCTCAAAGGTAGGTACACTGTGGCTTCCAAGTGTCATTCCAGCTCCTGTGGTCAAAGGAGTAGGGGGCCCCCAGGGAGCCACTAAGCAGAACCCTGGAGCCGGCAGGGGCAGTGCATGCTAGCACTGGGGCCTGGGAGCCCACGGGCATTGTTGTGCTCTTGAGCCTCAATTTCCTGCCTTTCTAGTGGTGCTCAGTGGAGGCCTCCTTCTACTGTCCACTCAGCTCAGAAACCTCGGTGGACCCCTGCTTGTCCAGAGCCATTAGCTCAGATCCTTTGCTCAGGCTTCCATACCCCATGCCTCCTCACCAAATGTCCCCACCCCACTTGCTAACAGTCACCCCAGTGTCCCACCTCTCCCTAGCACTCTTTGGTATCAGTCTGGCTGATCTGCTTCTGGTCTGGGGCTCCCCTCCCCTGCCTGGATCCCTCACTGCCTATGAGCTCCCAAGTCCTGGCTGGGCTTCCGCTAGCACACCCTTCCCTCACTACTGCCTGTTCCATGCAGGCGGTGCTCCAGGGCCTGGGCGGCCGACCAGGCAGTCAACGGTCACTGGCCATCAGTGACCAGCCCATGGCCTACTGAGGACGGCTGGCTGGCTGGCTGAGCATCTGTGGGCCTGGGGGACGTGGCTTACAGAATCCTTCCCAGAGGGCATCAGCAGGGGGAGAGGAGCCAATCATTTGACACCCTGCCCCAGTTCCCTCCAGCCCCCGGGGGGGCTGCTGAGTCTCTCCTGTCCTGTCTTCCCTACTCTGAGCTACCTTGCCCCACCCTCCCCAATCAAGGCCATGTCTGGGCTTGGGTGGAACCCAGGCAGCTGGGGCAGCTGCAGGGAAGGGGCTCAGAAAGTGACCTGGGAAGTAATGCAGGAACTGGAGGCCTGGGAATTGCTTCCCGAGGATTTCCTGATGCCTTTGGGAGAACATGCCCACAGCCTGAACACAGCATAGCTGGAGGACTCTGAAGCCTGGGATCTAGAGGCACTAAGATCAGGAGGCCAGAAGCCTGGAAGGAGTCCCTGGGGCCCGGGCACTGGGCAAGCAGGCTTCAGAACCATGGGTTCCAGTCTGTGTCAGATTAGGGTGGTGCGGTCTTCAAGGACTGTGCTGATATGGCCTCCCCCAGGGTCAGCCAAGAGGAGAGGTGCTGATGCTCTGGTGCTCTTTCTCCCGAAGGCCGGGTGCTGTTGCTGCCCCTCCTGTTCCTGCTGGGCCCACAGGCCTCCTGGGGTCTGGTCATCACACCCCCGGGGCCAGAGCTTGTCCTCAATGTCTCCAGCAACTTCGTTCTGACCTGCTCGGGTCCCGCTCCAGTGGTGTGGGAACGGATGTCCCAGGAGCCCCTGCAGAAAATGACCAAGACCCAGGATGGCACCTTCTCCAGCACGCTGACACTGACCAATGTCACTGGGATAGACACGGGAGAATACTTTTGCACCTACAAAGGCTCCCATGGGCTGGAGCCTGGTGAACGAAAACGGCTCTACATCTTTGTGCCAGGTAAGCACCCCCACCTGCATGCTCACTCCCTGACTTCTCTCACCTGCAGGCGTCTGGGGGGAGCTGAGAGTGCTTAGTGACATTGTGAGACATGGCCAGCTTAGACATGCAGACGAATCATGGAATCCAGCCTGGCTTAGTCCAGGAGTATGTTCACTCCCCACCCCTGGGTCTGGAGATCTGACTGCTCCCTGCTAGCCCACCCCATTCCTGGCTCCCCAGAACTCTGCCTTTTCAGCAGGTTCTAATATGCTCTCTTTTGGGCCTCCACATCCCATCTTTCCCATTCTCCAAGCTCTGGGTACCAGCTACCCTTCAACTTGGGGCTTATCTTCTTTCTCACCCTGGTGCTGACCATATCAAATGTTAAAACTGAAAGGGACCTCTGAGAGCATCCTTATTCTCTAACAGGAAGACTGTAGCCAGAGAGGGGAAGACACCTGCTCAAGGTCACACAGAAATTCAGGGGATAGCCAGAAAACCAGTTCCCCTGACCCTCATTCTTGGCCCCACACCTGGCAGATCCCGCGATGGGTTTTCTCCCTGTCGACCCCGAGGAACTATTCATCTTCCTCACGGAAATAACTGAGATCACAATTCCATGCCGAGTGACGGATCCGAGACTGGTGGTGACATTGCATGAGAAGAAAGTGGATATCCCACTGCCCATCCCCTATGACCACCAACGTGGCTTCTCTGGTACCTTTGAGGACAAGACCTATGTCTGCAAAACCACCATTGGGGACAGGGAAGTGGATTCTGAAGCCTACTATGTCTACAGCCTCCAGGGTGAGCCCCCTTTCTGGCCTGATGCTCAGCAGAGGCAGGTATGACTCTCCGCAGAGGTAGAGCCCTTTCCAGCTTACGAAGTGGGCAATTCCATCTTTCACTAGATTCTCACTGTAGTCTTGGAAGGCAGGTAGTGTTTCCCCATTTTACAGGTGAGAAGCTTGAAACTCAGAGGATGGAGTATGCCTGGGGTCATGGGGGGGGCGGTGGGTGGCAGGGCTGGGCCGTACACCGGGATAGGCAAAGGCACAGCCTCGAGGCTGGCTGGGTTTGAGTGCCAGCTGCACACTGAGTGAGTTTGCGTGGGGCACAGAACCTCCCCAAGTTCTGCTTCCTCTGGAAAATGAGGAAAAGAATGACTGCCCACCCAGTGGCATTACTGTGAGGATTAAAGACAGCGGCTCCCTGGTACATGGTTTGTGCTCCATACCTTTCTCCTGTACGTAGGTGCCCAGAGAATACATTGACTCAAGACTGACGACCCTTCTAGAATGTCAGCTCCACGAGGACAGGACTTTTACCTGTTGTGTTTACTGCGAAAGTCCCAGTGCCCAGCACAGTACTGGGCATATAGGACATAGTTAACAAATATTTGTTGAATGAATGAATCTTTCGCACCAGGCATCCCTTCCCTCTCTGAATCCCCACCCCATCCCCAAAGCTGAAGGGCCGGTGTGGTGGCTGGTGGTGACTTCCTCAGCCCTAAACTAATCTCTCTCCACTAGTGTCATCCATCAATGTCTCAGTGAATGCAGTGCAGACTGTGGTCCGTCAGGGTGAGAACATCACCATCATGTGCATTGTGACCGGAAATGAGGTGGTCAACTTTGAATGGACATACCCACGCATGGAGGTAATGCTGGGCCAGGGGCTGGAGGAACGGCCAGGGAAGGATCGCTATCTTGACTTGCAGCCTAACTTCTTGGACCCTGCCTGATTGAGGGGCTTACCCCACCTGTTCCTCCAGAGTGGGCGGCTGGTGGAGCCAGTGACTGACTTCCTCTTCAATATGCCCTCCCACATACGCTCCATCCTGCACATCCCTAGTGCTGAGCTTGGCGATTCAGGGACCTACATCTGCAATGTCTCGGAGAGTGTGAATGAGCATCAAGATGAAAAGTCCATCAATGTCACTGTGGTTGGTGCGTGCCTTGGGCTTAGGCCCCACCCTCCTTCTGAGCTGGACCTAGACCCTATCATAGCCCCAGGGTACTATCAGCCCAATTCCAGTACAGCTCTAGCTTCAGTACCAACCAAAGCCCATTTCCAGGATAAACCCAAACTAAAACGCAGTGTCAGCCCCAAATCCAACTGTAATCCCACCGTGGGCTTTCTGCCTAGCCAGAACCTCAGCCCCAACCCGATATCTAAACCCAACTGCCATTCCAGGCCCAGGTCGCCCCATCCTCAAATTCAACCAGGCTGCAGTGAGATAGACAACTCCAGTCCCAATCTCAAACCCGGTCCCCAAATCAGTATCAGCTCCCCAATTCGGCACCTGGTCCAGCCTCAGTCCCAACTTCAACCCCAGCTCCAGTAACTCCAACACTGGTTCAGGTCCTAAAGCCTGAAGCCCCGCCCCCGGAAGGCCGGGCTCCTTTGGCCTTCCGTGGATGCCCGGCCTCCAGGAGCCCCGCCCCCAGGGGGCGCTGCCCTGTTGGTAGCCGGGCCTAGTCCCGCCCCCTGGGGCCCCGCCCCTGACGGCCGCCCCTTGCAGAGAATGGCTACGTGCGGCTGCTGGGAGAGCTGAGTGCCGTACAATTCGCGGAGCTGCACCGCAGCCGGACTCTGCAGGTCGTGTTCGAGGCCTACCCGCCGCCTACTGTCATGTGGTTCAAGGACAACCGCACGCTAGGCGACTCCAGCGCAGGCGAGATCTCCCTGTCCACACGCAATGTGTCTGAGACCCGGTGAGCAGCGGCCCACCCCCTCCATTCTTGACGTTATTCCCTGCAGCTGCCAGGCAGCTCACAGCCTTCAGCCACTGGACACACCTAGATCCACCTTTCCTGAGAGCCCACTGTGTGCGAGGCGCCGTGCCAGGCACTGGGGAGGCTGCAGAGATCCGAATAGACTGTTCCAGCTCTCCTAGAGTTTCCTATCTAGTGGGGGAAACAGACACTGGGCAGATGGTCACCCAGATGTTTAGTTGTCCTTGTGATGGGGGGAGCCAGCTGGGAGCAGCTGAGGAGATAAAGGCCAGATGATCGGGCAAGAGCGTGCCAGGCGGGCCACTACCACCTATGCGTGGATGGTGGCCCTGAGGCTGGAGATGAGCAGGCGGATACAAGGTGCGGTCTGTGAGGATAAAGCCATGTCAGGCCTTTCTGCAGGAGTGAGATGTGGAGGGGGGAGGGAAAGGGTGCTTCCCCCACTGTATTCATCCCTCCCCAACCCCCCTCTTAGCTCAGTGGAGCCAGCTGCCAATGGGTGGGGATTCAGGAGACTGGTGTGAGTCCCACTCTGCTACTGACACCTGGGTGACCTTGGGAAGCCCCTGCCCCTCCCTGGGCCTGGTTTCTCTTGTCTGTACAAGGAGGGTGGGGGGGACTGTGAGAGTTCTTCCAGCTCTGGCAACTGGGCCTGTCGTGCTCCGCAGGTATGTGTCAGAACTGACGTTGGTGCGGGTGAAGGTGGCTGAGGCTGGCCGCTACACCATGCGGGCCTTCCATGAGGACGCGGAGGCCCAACTGTCCTTCCAGCTGCAGGTCAACGGTGAGGAGCCGTGCACCCTGCCTCCCCGACCCCCACCCTGCTTCCCTCTCCCTTCCTACTGTGCCCACCCACCCTTAGGAGGAGAAGGAGCAGGAGAGGGAGCTGAGGACTCGGGAGGCTGGCTTCTAGGCTGAGCTCCAACACTTTCGCTCCTGTGTGAACTCGGCATATCCCCACTTTGGGCCTCAAGCTGTATAAGGAGGCCACTGGGCTACACTGGTGTCCCTAAAGCCTCAGGCATTCATGTACCAGTGCATGATTTTTCCTTCTCACATACCCTTATACTACACTACTAATTAGATAGATATTTACTGAGCACCAACAACACATCAGTCTGTTCAGGTTCTTGAGGCCCTGCCTTTGCGTCGCTTGTCTCCTGCTGGGGGGAAGACAAACACTCAACAGTAGGGCAGAGAACAAGCAAATGACACAGAAGATTAGAAGGTAACAAGTGCTGTTGAAGGGGGAAAAAGCTGGGTAGGGAGGATAGAGAGTTCAGGGGGCATGGGGCAGTGAGGGTTGCGATTTCAAATAGCCTGATCAAGTTGGCCTCATGGAGGCGACATTTGCTTGAAGACTTCTAGAAGGTGAGGGTATTCGCCAAGCAGTTCTGTGGGGCAAGGGCCCACCAAGCAGTACCAAGGCAGGACCGACAGCAGAAAGCCGATGTGGCTGGAACCAAGGGGGAGAGTGGTGGGAGATGAGGTCAGAGCTGAGACCTGGAAGTGGGGGGGGGGGCAGATTGTGTGGGTCCCCTCTGGCCCTTGTATGGACTTTGGCTTTTACTGTAACTGAAATGACAGAGCCATGGCAGGGTTTTGAGCAGGGGAATGACACACTAATGACTTACTGTTTTGTCAATTGACTTTCTAAAAATAAATGTATTTTGAAAGAGAATTTAACCTCTCAATTGTAGATGGAAAATCAGCATCACATGTCATAAATATAAAGCAACCACCAAAATAAACTCTGGGAAAACAAAGCGATGCTATTAAATTCTAGCTCCATGCTCTTGCTTTCCCAGGGCTTTCTCTGACCCTCAGACCTGCTCTGTCTTTGTTAAAAGGGAAGATTAGCGAGTCTCAGAGAGGTGTTAGAGACAGACTAGCACCCTACTGAGGCTTTCCCTTTGAAGTACCCAGAAGGGGAACCTGTCAGTTTTCACACGGTGATTCCTGGTATTTGATGTTCACCTGCAGCCTGAGGCTCCCCTCCCCCGCCCAGGGCAGACCCTGGGCCAGGTCCTCCCCTGGGCCTTTCTCACTGACTGTCCTTCCTGACCTCCCCACCTCCTGGCCTCCTGCCCTCTCCATGCAGTGCCTGTCCGTGTGCTGGAGCTGAGTGAAAGCCACCCTGCCAGTGGGGAGCAGACGGTCCGCTGTCGCGGCCGGGGCATGCCCCAGCCATACCTCACCTGGTCTACCTGCAGCGACCTCAAAAGGTAAGCAGACCCGGGACCTCTGGCTCCCAGGGTAACCACAGCGGCCTGGAAGGACCCAGTGGATGTCATCTAGTCCAGCCTCTTCCTCCGGGCACGCTGCTCCAGGCTAGAGCTCCGTCCAAGAAGATGTGGCTTCTTGGAGATGCTCTGCATGACCTAAACAGTCCCGTTTCCTTACCTTGACTCAGACGATCAAATGAAGGGAGTGGATTTTGCCGTCCAGGTCTCTCAGTTCTGGGGTAGGAGCGCCCCCTGCCGGTCAGTCGAGGGGCTACAGGAGGAGTGAGCTCAGGGACAGGCAGCGGGAAGCAGCAGGGACTGGAAGCTGACCCGGCTGGCTCTCCTGGCAGGTGTCCGCGCGAGCTGCCGCCCACGCCGCTGGGGAACAGTTCGGAGGAGGAGAGCCAGCTGGAGACTAACGTGACATACTGGCCCGAGGATCAGGAGTTCGAGGTGGTGAGCACACTGCGCCTGCGCCGTGTGGATCAGCCGCTGTCAGTGCGCTGCACTCTACACAACCTGCTGGGACGCGACATGCAGGAGGTCACCGTGGTGCCGCACTGTGAGTCCTCCGGCCCGGGTGGTCCCTGAAGGCCCTCCAGCCCCACCTCCACCCCGCCATTCTTGGAACTGTGCCCGTGAGCCCAGTGGGCCAGAGTCAGCGTGCCTGTGGGCACTCAGGAGCATGGCGAAGCCCACCAGAGTATGCCCCTGAGCACTTACACAACACCGCAGTATTGGCACCCACGTGTACAGCCGTGAGTGTCTTTAAGCCAAGGCTGGGGTGTGTGTCTGCTGTCCGTGCGTCCTAAACTGTGAACAGCAAGCCTGATCCTTGGACACAGGTGCAAACCTGCCTGGTGTAGATATGTAAACCACATAATGAAGAGTGCCCGAGCCCCAGATACACATGCGGGGCTGGAGTGTATGTCTGCAAGCGCGTGCACAAGCGTGCATGACATCTGCCTCTGTGGGAACCCACAGAACGCATGTGTATAAACCATGTATATGACCACGCCCAATACCCAGCCACATATATAAACCCAGGAGCGTGTGTCTGTATGCATGTGCGTGTGGATGCACGATCACCACACAAGGGTGCAGACAGTGCGCGTACAATTCCTGTGCGTGTGTGCAAACTGGCATGTGCATGTCCGCAACGTGGAGCCGCAGCACTCCCTCTGTGAAAGTGTGCGAACACAGTCTCTGTGCACAGATGCCTGCTATACCATGCATGTCTGTGAGTGGGTACACACACGCATGCATGCACGCACGCACCATTCCTGTCCATATGAATAGTGTCGGCCATGCATATAGTGTCCCGGGGCAGGCATTTCCCCCTGCGCTGGTACCTCATTTCTTCGCTTGTTTCCTCTTTCTCCCTGGAGAAGGCCCAGCCCCGCCTGCCCTTCTAGTGCCCTCAGACCCGAGAGAAGGCAGATAAGGAACTAGGCAATCCCACTGCAGGGGGCAGTACTCTGGGGGGAAAGCCGAGAGGGAGGAGGGGCTCCGTGCCCAGCTGGGGGTTTCAGGAAAGTGTCCTGGAAAAAGAAAGCTTTAGGTCAAAACCTGAAAGATACCTGGGAGTTAGCCTGGTAAGGAATGGTGTTCCAGTCAGAGCGAATGGCCTGTGTAAGAGCCCGGAGGCAAAATGGGATCAGAGAACTCAAAGGCATTAGCGTGGCTGGAGCCCGGAGTCTGTGTGTATTTAAGGGCTGGAAGGGCGAGATAAAGAGAAAGGGAAGGGAGTGGTAAAGGAGGGGCTCAGGGGTAGGCAGAAGCCAGGGTGAGCAGAGCTTTGAAGGCTGTGCGAGGCGTTGGCAGGTTGGTGGGCTTGCACACACATGAGCCTCTCTGTACACAGAGCTGTTTCCAGCCCCCTGGTCTGTGGTGGGACAGGTGGGGGTTTTCATACCTTATCTCACTCCCACTCCCACGCATGCACACGTACCCCTGAGCCAGCGGGCACCTGCAGACCAGCCCGGAGCAAGACAAGTAGGGCTTTTGTGTGCCACCTGAGGGGGAAGGCACGTACCAGCCTACAGGGAAACTGCCGTGGCTGCACGAAGCCTCTTCTTTTTACTCAGATGGCTCCTTAGAAGATTCAGACTTCCTTCCCAGGCCTGGGATGTGTGACCTGGTGGGGAGAGGGAGGAGAGGAGTGATGTTGGTCTGGGACCCTGAGGAGGAGGGACAGGGCCTCCAGGGGCGCCAAGAGGGGCAAGTGGGGGACAGAGGAAGAGGGAATGAGTTCCTCGGGGACCCCATGGGTGGCCAGTGGGGCAGAGTAGGGGAGATGAGGGTCTGGCAGGGGTGGATGCAAAGGGAGGGGAAGAGAATGGGAAATCATACAGCAAAGAGGCCGAGGCCTTCGGGGGAAGACTTGGTGCTTGGGGGCCCCCAGAGTTAGTCCGACTTGGCTACCCCTG